TTTTTCCATTTGTTAGTTCCCTGAAGTGAAAATTACCAGCTCAAACTGTCACTAAACTAGTGTGAAATAAATGTCTTTTTTGTAGTTAGATTCAGAGTCCATATTAAAGTTAACAGCAGGTCAATTGAAAATCAGAACATTTTTGTCTTAGGAGTTAATTATTTTAATTGAAATCCAAAGTAAATATTTTTCTCGAAAAAGCTACATCCTTCAAAATAGATATCTAGTGATGGCAAATGAGTAAATTCACTGTCTTTTGTGGAAAAGATGAACATTTTAATGTAAATGTAAGACCTGTGTTATGATTTAACAAAGTCCTATTTGAATTATTGTCTGTTCAATTTTCTAATACTTTTAAGTGGACTGTATTGCATCAGAATATCTTAAATAGATGTTTAGTTCACTTGCCTATATTCACTGTTGATCAGATGCTATGGTTGTTCCTTAAATTGCTTCTATAGTAGAGTTGCTATATATTGTTTGTTATTTTAACTGAAAACCAGTTCTGGAGATTTGAAAAATTAATCTGACATCCAGCCCAGGGACTAAGCCACCTACTATGAACAGCCACCAAACTGTTTCTTCTGCCAGATGCACTACCAACTATACTCATGAAATTTAATTTGAAAAAGTTGTTCTGAATTTAACATCTTTTTAATACAGTCTAAAAATATGTAACTTATTACTTGGCATGGCCTAATAGAAAGAAAAAGAAAAGGTGAGTATCTTCATAGGATACCTATGACATTAATTAAATATATTAATCAAATAAACTACTCATGCAGCTCATGCTCTTATTATATCTTCTCACTTCTTGGCTTTGCTTCAGTTTTTTATTTAAGTAGTTTTATTTGTCTGATTCTTTAGTTCGTTGAATATAGTTTAATGAATATTTGCCAAATTCCAGTGAAATGCATGCCACGACTGAGCCAGCCTGCCAGCTGGCTCCAAATTTTTAAATGTAGAACCGCAGCAGGGGCAGCCTCGGAGTGGGGGCAGCTGCTGGGACCAACATGTGCTAGGGCTGAGGCTGCCAGCTCCTACTGTAGAGCCTGCAGCAGGCTGTAGTAAATTCCCTTTGTAAAAGTAGCAATGAACTGTACAACTGACAGAGTTCTTAACAGTTACATGGTTACCATATTACATGATTTTTAACATACTTATAGTTTATACTTTTAGTTCATGTGCTTGGAGAACATAAGTTCAGACATGTCTGGTGGACATGGCTTAGTCCCCAACAAAGGTTGAGCAAGTCCCCTAGTGTGGCCATATGGAGTTGATGGGTTGAATTGTAGCTCCCTTGCTGAACAATGGCTGTTGATGGTTATTTCCTTGCTATTGTCTCTGAAGAGTAATATTTGGCCAATTCCCCAATGTACAGCATGTTTCAGTGACAACCATACAACACAGTTTTTATAATTTCGTATTTATTGATTTTATATATAATTTAGATTGGCTTTCAGCAGATCACAACCTTTTTCTTTGCATAATATCACAATTATATATAAATGATGAAAATAGGGGTAACAGAGTGGTCCCCCAATATATAGAAGAAGAATGTCAGTAGTAGGCTTGAACTCTGATGGCTAGTTCAAGTTGTGGTCAGGATTGCCATGTCCTCACTGGTATTTTTAGTTCATGACCTAGACTAGATCAAAGCTGGCACAAATCTGTCTTCCAGGATTGGGAGGCATTCTCCTTACAGAAGTGTCAGCATACTCTGACAGGGCCAAAAATTTAGAGCATCTTATTTCTCTTAGTCAGCCTGAGACTCTGAGATACATTGAGACTCAGAATTGTTATTAGGGATGTTTGATATTGTGTGATTGAATAGTCATGTAACCACATGAAATCTTAGTGGTTACATGACTATTCAATAGACCCTGCACGTGGGGCCGGCAGCCAGTACACTCCTGGCCCCACTCTGGGGAACCTCCTGCCGGTGGTAGGCGGGAGCAGGTCCACCAGGGCAGTCAGGTGCCCTCTATCTGTGGGGGTCCAAACTTCCCACGGATAGACACTGGTAGAGACAGCAGCGTGGGGAGGGGCAGGGAAGTGGCACCGTAAAACTTAATAGCCAGGTCCTGCCAGCACCAGCTCCTGTTTGTCCATCCCCCACTGCCTCTGTAGGACGCAGCGAGCGGGGAGGGGAGCAGATAGGTCTGCGGAGCTGGCATGCATGGGAAGCCTGCTTGAAAGCCAGCTTTCTGCGTGTATCCCCTCCAGCCTGTAACTCCTCACCCTCTGCGCTGTTGCCTCTGAGAGGCAGCAACGGGTGGGTGAGGAGGGAGGTGGATCTGGTGCTTGTGGGGTGCTTAAAGCCAGCTCCTCATGGGCATTGGCTCCTGCTTCACCGCCCCCCCCCCCACCTCCTCCCTGGCTGCCTCTGATACAGCTCATGTCTTATCCCGTATACCTCTGATACAGAGGCAGCAGGTGTGGGGGTGTGTAGTCCACAAGATTAACCAATAAACCCAAGCTTATTAGTTAATCATGTAGTCAACTACATGTTGGCATCCCTCATTGTTATTAAGAAGGAAGTTTTGGTTTTATAATTAACATTGTGGAAGTTCCTCCCCAAACTTCCTGCTACCATTACTTTGGGATTAATAAAATCATTTGACATGTTTGCCTGGACTATTGTAATATTTATTGTACAATGGTCACTATTTGAAAAATGGAGCAGCAATCTGAGAAATTGTAGACCATTATGTAAATCATTGTTCCTTTTTTGTAATATAGATCTAAATACTTTTCAAGAGGGAGCATTATCTTGTAGTTGAACAGCATGAGTCAAGGAAATCAGATCGCCATTCCTGGTTCTACTTCATGCTGTCTGAATTTAGGCAACCTCTCTTGCTCAAATTTTCCATTTATAAAATGAGAATAAGATAATTGGAGCAAAGTTTAATGTTCACAAAGCATTTCAAGATCCCCTGAATGGAAGGCCCTGAAGAAATTTAGTATATTAGATGATTAACAGTTTATCCCTTGAGTGCATGTACATATCAGTGTTGGTGACTGCAGCAACTTGTTAACATTTAATCTTTTTTTAGTTGAAATAGTTTTATTTAACCTTAGCCCTACTTTCTCTAAATTGGAGGCTTCATGTTCAACATTACAATCTCAATGAAGAAATATTTTTCCTGAACACTCATGTACCTTATTTACATCTCAGAAGCCCCTCTGTATGCATACAGTAATACTGTAGTCAGTATGGCACTCATTCATTATTTTACTTTCCTTTGCTGCCAATAACAAAAGTGTTACTGAGATTTCAAGACTTGATCTCAGAAAGGCACTTGAATGGTGGAGGCCTCTTGGTGACCTCTAATGGAAAGGTCAGAGAACAAATTTAGGAGTTTTTTCCTACTTGGTAGTACGTAAATATTTACCAGATTTCAAATGTCTAATTCAATGGGTATATGGATATTTCTCACCCCTTCCTTTTTTGTAGTACACCAGTGTTTCTTGTTGTATGTTTAATTATAATTGATCTGTGGAACTAACCATTTTGTTGTGATAGCAGTATAATAGCAGCTCAGCAAATTTATGAAATTTCCATGTTCTTATGGATATTTTGCAGTACTATTTCCGGAATGAAAAGTTCTGTGCAGGTTTGGTAGCACTTTGATTCTTCAATACAGAATCAATGGAAGTATTCAGTTCTTAATGAAACCGGAGCATATTATATGTGTAATGTGATGGAGGAAAGATTTTTAGCTAGGAAGACATTTGACACAGAAGGATTCTAAGTAAAGAATAACTTTATATATGATATTGCTGTTGGGATGTTTGCCACCATGCTTTTTGATGGTATATTTCCTGCTTGCTGCCTCAGTTGCTTTACATCTACAGAAGCTTCTTTGGTTTTGCTTATTAGGTGCTTCCTTAGATATTTTTGCTTTTGATTTGAAAAGGCATTGAAGTAATTTTAATAAAAATAGCCCCATTATAAGCTTAAGAGTTAGGTTTCAATTATTAGATCTTGGGCATAGTTTTCAAAAGTGCCTAATGTCTGAGCCTAAGTCCCACTTTAAAAAATGGCTTAGATGCTTTTAAATTTTTTACTCCTTATATAATGTATATTGCTTCACAGAGCATTTCATTTTTTTAAAATTTTGTTTTTAGGTTAAACTGCAAACCTTTTAGTTACGTAAGTGACTAGCTGTGAAGTATGCTGTTTACTTCAGTTACTTTAGTTTACTTTTGTGATTGCGTGTATGACTTTTCAGAGCACTAAGGAAAATGAGGCTAAATCATTTTAGAAACAAAGAACTCAATCACAAGTTAAACATTTTTATTGACTGAACTGGTAATGCGCATGAATGTAAAAATGATAAAAGCAGTTTATAATTTGGTTGGGAGAGATGTAACCATTCTGATGTGAACACTTGTGGGCTGGTTAAGACCAAGTGTCAGAAGTCAGAAGCCTGACGATATAGGAGTTTCTTTATAAGAGGAACAGATTTGTTAAGACATAGTGAAACAGCACTTGAAAACAAATCACTTTATCAAATAAGCAAATATATTCTAGTTTCTCAATTGTGGCTTTGTTCCTTCCTTTATATATAGAGGAACCATCAACTGTTTGTTAGCAGAACAATGCACATTATGTTGAATATTAAATGCTAAACCAATTTGACAGTATTTCTTTAATGAGTGGCAAAAGTATGCAAAAAATCCATTTTCCTGAGGGGGCTTTAGGGTTCTAACAAGGAATATAAAATATTAAAAAGGAATATAAAATCTTCAACATATTATAGAATTGAAAGCATTTAATTTTAGAAAATCTTGGGGTGTAACTCAAAATTCTATGTATTGCATATTAGTCGAAGCTTAAAATGAAGCTAAGTACAAGCCAAAGTATATGTAACACATGATTTTTTTTAATTTATGAATTCATTTATTTTACAATTTATGTTCTTGAACAGATATATTGTAAAAAAGGAGTTGCTTTCATGTTTCTTGTAAACAAATCTATTTTTCTTCTTCTTCAGAAAATGGAATAATCAAATCAGATAAAGTATTTGAAGTAATGTTGGCTACAGACCGTTGCCACTATGCAAAATGCAACCCTTATATGGACTCTCCTCAAGCAATAGGTAAGAGACCATCTATCTAAAACATCTGTTCTTAACAGAATGTGAGTTTGGCGTGTGTGATAAGAATATGAAAGTGTTTATATTTTAAAGAAACGTTTAAAAATGTATATAGGAGCCTTTTTAATTCCTTACAATGAGCTGATCCAGCCTTTTTTAATTTGAAAATTTGGCTTGTGCAGAATATATTGTAGTGCTCTAATTATTATTGTTTTTCATTGTGTTACCAGTTTGACATGATGGCTTTACTGTATAAAACCTTAAACAATTTGGCTCTAGTTACATTAGAGATGTTCTTTCTGTTTGTATAATAGTGCTGTTTATCAGCTGTTGTGGGTACTTGACCTAAAACAATGGTCTCCAGTCTTTTTAAACATGAGATTACTTTTTTTTTTATTTAAGTGCAATCCAGGATGTACCTCAAACCCAAACACTGTTGCCCCACCTCCTTCCTGCTCCTTCTCCAAGGCCCTGCCCCTGCTTTCTCCATTCTCTCTTCCTCTCCCATCCTCACTCACATATATCAGGCTGGAGGCAGAGGTTTGGACTGTGGGGGAGGGGGAATGCAGACACTGATCTTGGGTTAAAGGATTTGGAGTGTGGGAGGGGGTTCATTGTGGATGCTTGGGAGGGAGTTTGGGTGCAGGGGGATTTAGGGCTAGGGTGGGGTTTTAAGGTGAAGGGGGGTTTCAGGACTGGGGCTGGGGTTTGGAATGCAGGCTCCAGCTGGGCACTGCTTACCACAGGTGGTTTCTGGGTGGTGATGTAGGGAGCTAAGGCATGCTCACCCCAACCCTAGTCCTCCACCACTCCTGGCAGCAGCCAGCAAATTCCCTCCATCCCTGCCCCACCTCTGCTCTGTGGAGATGGGGTATAGGATGAGGGGAGGGGCACCCTGACATGAGCACCCCTCTCTTCTTCCTGTGCACTGCACAGCAAGCAGAATTCTCCTAAGGGTGGGGAGCACCTCCAGGGCAGGAGCAGCACGGCAGTGCTGAGAGGGGCAGATGAAGTGCCAGCACTTGATAGCCTCCCAGCCACGCCTGTCAGGATTACCTGTCAAAGGTTTGAAGATCTACCAGTAGATCCCAATCTGCTGGTTGGTGATCACTGACCTAAGAGGTTAAATAAGATGGAGCTGCTGGCAGTAGGGATGTTTGACTGTAAATGACTAACCGCTTATTGGTTAGCAGTGTTGGTTACACTCAGTGAAGCCTCCTTCTTGGGAGCCAGGTGGACAAAAGGCTGCCCTCTGTGCTCCCTGGGAGTAGGCTTCACTGAAGTAGGAGAGCCGGGCGGGCAAGAGTTGCCGGGTTTTAGGCTGGCAGGAACTGGTAGCCTCACTTCCCAGAAGGCTTCACTGTGGGCTCTGCAGTATAAAATTAAGCTTTATACTGCAGAGCCCACAGCGTGAGTAACAGTGTAACTTCTGAGATTTTCAGCAGTTACACAGTTGACTTATTATTAGTTTTTTAACATCCATAGCTGGTAGGGCATTTTTCAATGAAGGATCATGAATTCTGGAATTTGCTTGCTCCCATCTAGACCCTTATTTTTTTTTTCTTTTTGAGAAGTCAAAGCTTATTTATTTTTCATTTCTGAAGCTTTCATATTGGTTGATGGTGAAAGATAGTAGTACTTATTGTTGATTAATTCATATTGAACTGCTTGTATATTTGTATACATACACATATGTATATTTGCATATATACAACATACACTGCTTCCTGTGGCTTCCCTTGCCTGCAAACGGCGAACCAGAGCCATTGGGAGCTACAAGGATCTGTGGCTGAGGAGCCAGTAAACACACCAGAGCAGCCAGTTAGCCGTTTTTTCTTGGAGTGCTTGCTCATGTCCATTCCAGTTAGGGTGTGCGTGCACCACATGCATGGATTCCAGAGCTTTTTCCCTTAGCAGTATCCGTTTGGCCAGCCAGGAAACTCCCTGGAATGATGCCGGCATATCGATGCATATATACCCCCTGCTGACCCTCCATCCCCTCAGTTCCTTCTTACCACCCTTGATGGTAGCTGGAGTGCTCAACTAGTTAGTCTATGCTTTAGAGTATATACAGTTCTTAGTTTTGTAGATTAGATTAGTTTAGTAGTGTAAACAGTTTAAAGTTGACCGTTTTTATCGGGGAGTTTTCCCCACATTCTCTCTCCCTCCTCCCCCCCCGGGAGGGGATGCCAGAATCACATAGTTTTAAACCATGTGTGAAGGGCTCTAAACCTATGCCCTGTGGTGATCTGTATGACTCCTGTGTGAAGTGCTTAGGAGAGGGCCATTGCACAGCTGTCAAATTTGCAAGAGCTTCAGGCCGAGAACGAAGTGGGAACATGATTCCTGCCTGAAGCTCATTTTAATGGAGTCCCTGCTTCAGCCAGTAGTGCCGGAAGTGGTACCAGGTGTATGCAGCACTCTGGTTTCTGTGAACCTTCCTCGGCACTGAAACAGATGGCACTGGCAAAACCTTTGACATCAAAACGTTAGTTGCAGTCTCCAACACCATCCAGGAAGAGACAGCACTGGGGAAGATCCTCTACGAAGCATGGTCTTAAAGTGTGCCATGGAGATGGGATTTTAGCTCAACAGCACGTCAGGCTCATGTGTCACATCGGCACTGGTTGAGTTCAGTGTGCACAGAGAGTCCGTCACTGGATGTGGTGATTGCAGAGGTCTAGCAGCCATTGGCTCTGGAAGCATTAAGTGCGGCACACAAGCTCATAGAGTTCACTTAATCTCTGGGACCAGTTATGATCGATGATGATGAACACCAGGCATCTTCATTGGCACCGGACTGCTGGTGTAGTTGCGGGCTCCGGTACAAGCACCAATCCCGGTGCCTATCCTGGCTCCAATACCAGCACCGACGGTGCAGCAACAGCAGCACTCTGTACCAGTACTCGCTTCGGTACTGCTGATACCATCAGCACCGACCAATACGGAAACCTGGGCACCGACCGTATCATCAGCACCATCCCCCATGGTACCACAGGCTCCGGTACCGACTATGATGTGGCCTCATGGAAGGTAGTGTTCCTCGTTGCCATTACATCAGGAGAGTGTCAGAGCTGAGGACCCTCACATCAGAGCCCCCTTATACAGTTTTTTTTGTAGACAGGGTTAGGCTATGTCATTCCACAGGTCATGTCATATTTTCACATGTTCCAGGTCATCCCTATTGTCTTCCCTAAGCCCCACGCAACACTGAGAGAGCAGTCCCTGCAGTCTCTGGATGTGAGGAGGGCCCTAGCTTTCTACATTGATAGGACATGAGAGTTTAGGAGGTCACCACAACTTGTTCTTTCTATAGTAGAAAGAATGAGGGGTTTCCCAGTGTTGGCCCAAAGCTTGTCCTCGTGGATCACTTCCTGTGTCTGAGCATGTTACGTGCTTGGGATGGATGGTGCCCCTGCTTATGGCACACTCCCTGAGGGCACAGGCCTCATCAACAACATTTATCACACAACTGCTGATCCTAGAGATCTGTAGGGCAGCCATGTGATCCTCCATCCATATGTTTACAACCCATTACGCCATTGCACAGCAAGCTTGGGATGATGCAGCCTTTAGTAGGGCTATTTTGCAGTCTGTTGCAGAATAGGGTTCCGACCCCACCTCCTGTGGTACTGCTAAGGAATCACCTAACTGGAATAGACATGAGCAAGCACTCCAAGAAGAACAAACGATTACTTACCTTGTAATTGTTCTTTGAGATGTGTTGCTCATGTCCATTCCAAATTCCACCTACCTTCCCTTTGTCGGAAGACTCTGGCAAGAAGGCACTGAGGGGGTAGACGGCCAGCTGCTGATATGCTGGCACCACTTCAGGGGGCTCCCTGGCTGGTCCAATGGATACTGCTAAGTGAAAAAGCTCTGGAATCTGTGCACACCTAACTGGAATGGACATGAGCAACACATCTCGAACAACAGTTACGAGGTAAGTAACCGTTTTGTTCTCAGAGTGGTTTTGTGTACCACTTTTGAGAAAAACTGATGTATATGTATGCCAGTGGTGGGTAATCTGCAGCCCACATGCAGCTCATTGGGGTTCTGTATGTGGCCTGCAAGACATTTTCTTGCAGGCCACGTTCCATGTGCAGGGTAGCCAGATTACACTGGTCTTTGTCCACGTATGTTTTTTTCTCGGAATTACTGCAGTGACATGCACGTGAAGTGAGGTGCGTGCTGATTGCTCACAACATTGTGAGAGCCATGTACTTCCTCTGCATCCAATTATAGCACTGTTATGATTTAATCTGCATGCCCTGCTAATTTTAGGTATGCAAGTGCAGTTAGCACAAACTATCTATCTTGGGAGATCATCTTGGTTTACAGCAATCTTGTGGCCCACTAAGATGGAGGGCCTCTCATGTGGCCCACTCATTAATCTAGGTTGCCCATCACTAATATATTTTGATTTACAGACATGGTCCCTACATTAGAGAGGTCATAATCTAGTGCAAAAACATGACAATTATGAGCCAAGATTGGAATGTGGGAAATAACAGTGGAAAGGGGAAACATTACTTGTGGGATGTAAAAGTTACATAGGCAGCTTTCATGCAGTATAGCTTTACAAAACTAAAGGTTTATACTAGGGATGCAATGTTTCATACATAAGTTGGATAGGAATGTTACAATACTAACTTGTATCATCAGTAGGTTTACCTCTTCCTTGTTTTACAGGTTTCCAAGCAACTATCAGTGCTCCACACATGGTAAGCATTAGATTTATAACACAGAAGGTTTAGTGAAGATTACTAATAATCTAGTCACTCATTCTAACAACTTTCACTGTATCTATTGGTGGTAGCAATTTCTGGTAATCTTGCCTGTCCTTTTGTCTATAATATGTGAATTCAACCAAGTGGAGTTATTGTGATATATTTAATCTTTTACATAAGAACAGCCATAGTGGGTCAGACCAAAGGTCCATCTAGCCCAGTATCCTGTCTGCGGACAGTGTCCAATACCAGATGCCCCAGACGGAGGGATCACAACAGGTAATCCTCACGTGATCCCTCCCCTGACACGTACCTCTAGAGAAACAGAGGCTACTGTTTCCTATTCATCCTGGCTAATAGCCATTGATGGTCCTAACCTCCATGAATCTATCTAGCTCTCTTTTGAACCCTGTTAAAGTTCTAGCCTTCACTGCATCCTCTGGCAAGGAGTTCCACAGGTTGACACTGTGCTGAGTGAAGAAAAACTTCCTTTTGTTTGTTTTAACCCTGCTGTCTACTAATTTAATTTGGTGACCCCCCCCCAAGTAAATACATTTTCCTTATTCACTTTTATCATACCAGTCATGATTTTCTAGACCTCTATCATATCCCCCCTTAGTTTCCTCTTTTCTAAGATGAAAAGTCCGAGTCCTTTTAATCTGTCTTCATACGGGACCTGTTCCAAACTCCTAATAATTTTTGTTGCCCTTTTCTGAACCTTTTCCAATGCCAATATACCTTTTTTCAGTTGAGGCGACCACATCTATACAAAGTAATCAAGATGTGGGCATACCATAGTTTTATATAGAGGCAATATGATATTTTCTATTTTACTCTCTATCCCTTTTTTAATGACTCTTAACATACTATTTGCTTTTTTGACTGCCACTGCACACTGAGTGCATGTTCTCAGAGAACTATGCACAATGACTCCAAGATCTCTCCTCTTGAGTAGTTGAAACTAAATTAGTCCCCATCATATTGTCTGTATATATAGTTGGGGTTATTTTTTTTCTATGTGTATTACTTTACATTTATCAACATTAAATTTCATTTGCTGTTTTGTTGCCCAGTCACTTAGTTTGGTGAGATCTTTTTGAAGCTCTTCGCAGTCTGCTTTGGTCTTAACTATCTTAGTGTCTGAAAATTTTGCCACCTCACTGTTTACCCCTTTCTCTAGATCATTTATAAATAAGTTGAATAGTATGGGTTCCAAGACAGACCCTTGGGGGACCCTGCTAGTTATTTCTCTGCACTAGGAAAACTTACCATTTATTCCTACCTTTTGTTTCCTCTCTGTTAACCAGTTATCAATGCATGAAAGGACCTTCCCTCTTATCCTATGACAACTTACTTTACTTAAGAACCTTTGGTGAGGGACCTTGTCAAAGGCTTTCTGGAAATTTTAAGTATACTATATCCACTGGATCCCCCTTGTCCACATGTTTGTTTGACCCCCCTCCCCCAAAGAATTCTAGCAGATTAGTATGGCACGATTTCTCTTTACAGAAACCATGTTGACTTCCCCTAACAAATTATATTCATCCATGTGTCAGACAATTTTATTCTTTACTATAAAGGCAGTCCCCGGGTTACGTACAAGATAGGGACTGTAGGTTTGTTCTTAAGTTGAATCTGTATGTAAGTCGGAACTGGCGTCCAGATTCAGCCGCTGCTGAAACTGATCAGCAGCTGATTCCAGGAAGCCCGGGGCAGAGCAACTCTGTTTTCTCAGACATCCAGTCCAGTCTCAAGTCCAGCCTAGAAGGACCATCAAAAGCAGTGAATGAAAAACTCAGTCTCCAAGCTTAGTCAAATCACAGCTTGTCTTCTAAGACAACCTGCAATATTGCTAACTAACATCAATAATTCTAGTGCCTTTTCTATGTGGGCACTTAAGGCACTGTACAGCAGCCACCTACTCAATTCCCAAAGGACTTCAAGTAGTAATGATAGACATGCATCTTTTTTTATTCCTGATCCTTTGTGGCTATACAAGAATACCTGAAATCTATGCAGATTTCAATTTTAGTGCAGTATTGGCTCCACAATAGTCCTCAAGCACATTCAGTTGGAGGCTATCCTCTCTGTTGTACTAGCACAACTTCACTGATCCGGCCATTAGTATCTGATTTCTGTTTGGATAAATTGTCATTGGTATTAAGTTAACTCTCGAAAGCCAAAGTATATGCTACATATACAGGCGGACCCCAGGTTACGTACAAGATAGGGACTGTAGGTTTGTTCTTAAGTTGAATTTGTATGTAAGTCGGAACTGGTACATATTGTAGAGGAAACTCTAGCCAAACATTTCTCCAGAGCTCAGTTTTATTCTCCCACACCTCACTTCCCTCAGTCTTGCAGACCAGGGAGACGCGGAGTTTTACTTCTCACCCCGGAGGACGTGGGTGGCGGGACCGCGGTGCATCTGGGCGTCCCGCCACTCCCGTCCTCCGGGGCGAGGAAAACCCCGATGGTAACTATGACATAAGTCGGATCCGCGTAACTCGGGGACTGCCTGTAGTTTCAACTAATTTGCCTGGTACTGACGTTAGATTTATCAGTCTGTAATTTCCAGGATCACCTGGAGAGCTCGTTTTAAATATTGGTGTCAGTTAGCTATCTTCCAGTAATTAGATAAGGAAGCTGATTTAAAGGATAGGTTACAAACCACAGTTAAAAGTTCTGCAATTTCCCATTTGAGTTCTTTCAGAACTCTTGGATGAATGCCATCTGGTACTGGTGACTTGTTACTGTTCAGTTTATCAGTTTGTTCCACAACTTCCTCTAATGACACCTCAGTCTGGCACAGTTCCTCAGATTTGTCATCTAAAAAGAATGGCTCAGGTTTGGGAATCTCCCCAATATCCTCAGCCGTGAAGACTGAAGCAAAGAATTCATTTAGCTTCTCCACTGTGACTTTATCATCTTTGAGTTCTCCTTTCGCATCTCTATCATCCAAGGGCTCCATTGGTTGTTTAGCCAGCTTCTTGCTTCTGATCTACTGAAAAAACATTTTGCCATTACTTCTTGAGTTTTTGTTCTTCAAACTCCTTTTTGGCTTTTCTAATGATATATTTACACTTAATTTGACAAAGTTTACGATCCTTTCTATTTTCCTTACTAGGATTTGAATAACTTCCGATGTATCTTTTTATCTGTCACTACTTCTTTTACCTGGTTAAGCCAAGCCACGGTGGCACTTTTTTGATTCTCTTACTGTGTTTTTTTAATTTGGGGTATTCATTTAAGTTGGGCCTCTATTATGGTCTTTTTTAATAGTTTCTATGCAAATTGCAGAGATTTTACTTTTGCCACTGTACCTTTTAATTTCTGTTTAACTAGCTTCCTCATTTATGTGTAGTTCCCCTTTCTGAAATTAAATATTAAGAATGAAATTATATTGAGAGATGAGCTCTCTGCTAAATGAGACCCAGACAGTTCATGGATGAGGCTTAATAAGTGAACGTTGGGAGATATTTCAGTGCACTGAAATATCACAGATACTAAACTATTTCCATATCAGTGTTTTCATGTATTTGAAATTAAGAATTAATTGGTCATATTTTGCCCTTTTAGTATTTTGAGAATCAGAGTTTGTGAGAAAGAAGGGCAACATTTTTATAGCTTATGCTCTATTTCATAGAACACTAGAACTGAAAGGGACCTTGAGAGGTCATCATTCCAATCCCCTGCTCTCACGGCAGAACCAAGGACCGTCTAGACTATCCCTGATAGAAGTTTATCTAACCTGCTCTTAAATATCTCCAGAGATGGAGATTCCACAACCTCCCTAAGCAATTTATTTCAGTGTTTAACTATCCTGACAGGAGGTTTTCCCTAATGTCCAACCTAAACTTCCCTTGCTGCAGTTTAAGCCCATTGCTTGTTGTCTTATCCTCAGACTAAGGAGAACAATTTTTCTCCGTGCTCCTTGTAGCACTCTTAGGTTCTTGAAAACTTCTATCATGTTGCCTCTCAGTCTTCTCTTTTCTAAACTAAACAAGCCCAGTTCTTTAAGTCTTCTCTCCTACCTCATGTTCTCTAGACCTTTAATGATTCTTGTTGCTCTTCTCTGGCCCTTCTCCAAATCTTTCTTGAAATGTGGTGCCCAGAACTGGACACAGTACTCCAATTGAGGCCTAATCAGCACAGAGTAGAGTGGAAGAATGACTTCTTGTGTCTTGCTCACAACACTCCTGTTAATGCATCCCAGAATCATGTTTGGTTTTTTTGTAACAGTTTCACTATGACCCCTAGATCCCTTTCTGCAGTATTCCTTCCTAGATAGTCAAGACCAATTCTGTGTGTATTAAACTGATAGTTCCTTCCTAAGTAGAGTACTTTGTATTTGTCCTTATTAAACTTCATGCTATTTACCTCAGACCATTTCTCCAGTTTGTCCAAATCATTTTGAATTTGTCTTGTCGTAAAATTATTTTTTAGAATTCAAAAGGATAGGGACTAAATTAAACTATCCATTTTGAAAGATTGGCTTTTTATATCTTAAACAAGTTAACATGGCTTTCAGAGAAATGACAACAATAGTAGTTGTTATAGAATCTTAATGTAGATATGTGTTTCTCACACTACTAAACTTACCACTGATGACACATGTCACACGCACAGAGGGTATACAAGATTCTTTAAATAGAACAGTAAGTAGAGTTCAGAATAAGAATCTACTATAACTATATTGATTACCGTTATTTAAGATGTGTATCAGGTATTTCTGAATTCTTAGTGGAACATTAAGCTAGCCTGCATTACAGTAAATCAGTACAGGTTGAACCTCTGTGGTCTGGGACACTCTCTGGCAATATTCCAATAGGACCACAGATGATGTTGGACCAGGAAGCCCAGAGACAGGTAGAGCCAGAAGCCCTGTGTCTCAGGGCTGCCCACAGAGTAGCAGCAAAGAGCAGCAGAGCTATGGCAGCCCCGGGATTGTAGAACCCCGGCAGCCCTGGAACTGCAGAACTCAAGCAACTTGTGAGCAGCGGTGCTCCAGCGGCCCTCAATCCCAGCAGGCCCGGGGCAGTGGAACACTGAAGGACTTGGCAACCCTGGGTCAATGGATCCCCAGCAGCCCAGGAGTCACTGAGTTCTGGCAGCCCCAGAGCAGTGAAGTCCTGGACGCCCCAGGGTGGGGGAGCTCCAGTGGCCCTGTCAGCCCTGGAACAGCAGCTCTCCAGTGGCCCCAGAACACCTTCCCCCTCCTCTCAGGAGTGGAGATCTGGAGGCCCCAGAGATGTGAAGCCCCAACAGCTGTGGGGCAGTGAAGCCCTGGGAGAGGAGTGGAGCCAAATCAGCCAGCAGTGGAGCTGATAAGGGGGCCACCTGGTGGGGTCTGCTGATGGACCCTAGAGTCCATCAGCAGAGTGGCTGGAGTTGACCTCCCCTGGTCCAGAAAAATCCCTCATTTGGGGATCAGTCAGGTCCTGAGGATCCTGGACCAGGGAGGTCCAACCTGTATCAGTAATTGCCCTTAGTGATCAGTGTAAATTCACTGAGTGCATATTATTACTCTAGTCCATCACATAAGCAAGTTAGAAAGAAAAATATGCATAAATAGTTTATGTAGCCTATTCCTTTTAGGTTAGTGAAACTGAAGACCTGTGTTGGGTGAAAAAACCCAATATAATGTGCTTTGTATACAGGTTTTTTATCAGTTACACATTCATTGATAAAATTTATTAAACTAACTTTTTTCCAAACTTACCAAAGTTGCTACTCAAATATTTGAGTTGTAATTATAAGCTTCAGCCATTTCCAGTGTTGTAATATTAAGTTGTGATTAAAATACTTTGTTCTTGTCTAAGTCAATAGATTGTTCGGATTTTGTTCTAAAAAATGAAGGCTCTTCTCAAAGGTGATAGAAAAAGGAAAATTCATTAATGTGAAAGTTTTGCAACCTTAAATAGGCTATTTCCCAACAAAGAGTTAGATTTGCTATAAGAAGAATGATTCTATTAGGGCAATCAATAGTAGAAAATCAAGTTATATCCATCAAGGATGGTAGTACTCTGGTACATTCTTTCTTTGTCCACACTAGGGACGCAAAAAGGACTTTTAAAAAGTAATCGTGTAACTGCTAAAAATCCTAGTGGTTACATGGTTAACCATTTTTGGCTGGGTGGGTCTAGAGAGGGAAGGATACTGCAGGGGTACCCCCTCTGAGCTCTTCAGTGGAAGGCTTATACTGCAGAGCCCGCAATGCAGCCAGCTGCCCAGGAGCAGAGCTAGGAGCCGACTTATCAGCTGGCTCTTGCTGTGCACTGTCTGTCAGTCCTGCTCCTAGGGAGCCAGCTGCTGCCCCATGCTGCGAAGTCTGCAGTATCAGAGCCCACAGCGTGAGCCGGTTCTGTGGGAACTGGGCTGGGAGCTAGGAATGTAATAGTGTAGTTCATTAATCAATTAACCGATAAGCAAAGCTTATAGGTTAATGCTATGGGCTATATGCATTTCCTCCTTCCCTGCCAGTAAATTTTTTACCAGGCTGGCCAGCAGTGTGGCTCCTACCCCCACTGCAGCTCTGCATTTAAAGAGTTTTAGGAGCCAGGCGGGCAGGCAGCCCAGCTCAGTTCCAGCTCATGCTTAGTCCCAGAGCTCAACCCCAAGAGTGGGACTAGCAGCTGCGAGCTGGCATGTGACTGCAGGGCACAAGAGTTTAACTGCAATGGAAACTGATAAGCTGATGCTTATTGGTTAAATGGTTAAATTCTTACATGTCTAGTCCACACACCTAAATCCTGGATTTCTGTTCTAAGTAAGTAAGTAACTTCAGCCCTTTGGGAAAGGAGTGTAGGTTTTAGCAACCTGTACTCTAAGCTGTATTGCTATTGATTCCTGATACAAAGTCAACAGAATCATGAAGCTACTTACAGGTATAGAATAACAGAGCACTTGATTTTTTTGTTCTACCTTTTAAATAAATGCTGCTTTTGTTTTGGGTCATCAGTTTACTATTTAGACTGATTTTTTCATTGAAGAAAACTAACTTTGCTATTTAACCAACCTCTAAAACTAGTTGCATAATTTTCCTGGGAGTCTGATAGTCTAGGTGAGATGCAGCAATTGCTAAGACTAAATTCAGAGTTGTGTTACATATTATCGTCCAGAAATTTAGGCGGGGGATGAGGAGGAGTATTTGTTCACTATCAGTATTTCTATAATGGAGTAGAGAAGGGAAAGGACTAAGAAACAGCAGATCCTCCTGTCCTGTACATGGAATCTCAACTCTCAGGGGGTAAATCTGTAGTCTCCCAAAAACCTTCTGCATGAGGGCAAAAACCACTGTAGTTATTCTTTAAGAAGGCTTTTTACAAACATGGAGGAAGCAGCAGAGCTTGCCCTTAGTGCCCCAAACAGAAAATTGGCCTGTGAAAAAAAAACTGATGAATTTTGAAAGAAACTTATGCATGGGGACTATTCCACCATTTTTCTGATGCATTCAGACCATAATTTAAACTGAGAACATGCTACTATAAATATAAAAATTATCGGTATCTGGAGAAATCTGAAATTCTAAATATCTGTTGTTTTGTAATTGTGATGATAATACTTCAGCAATAAGGTTTTTACACTCCATGATGATGTAATCTTGAATAAAATTCTTACGATATTGAAGGCCTATTCTATACCAATTGTAGTATAAGTACCTAAATGCAGGACATCTTGGTCATGTTAATGATTGCTTCAGTAGAATCATAGTCTCTTCTGGAGCTTTTCAGGTTGTGATTACTTTTTGGCTTAATTTTAAAAAATTGGTAGATTTCAGATTTTTTTCTTGTATATGATTGAATTGCATGTGGCCAACTTAAAAATATGGCTTAATGGAACTTCATATGCCCCAGAGTCTAGTGGCCGCTCAGTTCAGGTACAAAGTGAACTGAAACTGATTGGAGAATTGCCCTGTGTGAGACTCGGGTTAGTATAATACAGGACAAGCTGGCTATGCTGTCTTCTCCGCCTGCTGTGCTTCTGCCTTCTTCCACTGGGCTGAGCTACTTAGTATAAAGGGGAAGAAGGGTGGCAGAACAAGGCTCCACTTTCTCCAGTTTGCTGCTGTTAACATTAGGAACATTATGCCATATATATATATAAAGCTGCACCCTACAGATTTAATTAGAGCTAATCTGAACAAATTCGGGGAGCAGCATTTGGCTTCCTGCAAGCTCCTTCTCTGCTGTACCTGAGCTGTGGATGCAGCAGAAAACTCAGCTCATAAATGAGTCATTATATGAACCTTTTAATTATGAACTTAAAACCAAATTGTAGGGTAATGTTCATGATGAATTTTCCAAAGATGATTGATTTTTTTTTTGTTTGGTCCCAGATTCTTTGCCATATGAGGCCTTGGTTGATACAAGGTGGGGCGTTAGTTGGGTGGCAGCCATCAGGGAGCTCTTCGTGGCTTCCTCATGCTAGCTTTGTGTTGGTGCTATATAGGTTAGAGCAACCTATGGGATGCTTTTTTTGTATTCCAATTGTCAAATAGTTTCCAAGAGACTGCAAGCTGAGGATAGCTGGAACATAGTACTTAAACCATATCCTGTGCCAGCACTACTCCTTTGGATGTTGCAGAATTCTCAATTGGCTACATCTTTCATGGAGTGTTTCAAAGGATCTTGGATGCAGTGTAGATTCTTTACCAATTACTTCATTTTAAAAATGACCATGTGCGACAGACCTAAAGATACTGAAATGGCTATTAGAGGAAATAGTTGAGAACAACATGTGTTAAAGTTGCATGGAAAAGCATGAAAATAATTATCTTGCTGTGGTACAGAAGAACTCTGTTGGTTTCCTGTAGTAACATTGATTTTTCCTGTATTACCTGAAATCTCTGAAAAGGTGACTATGTACTGGTTAAAATGAAGTTTTAAAACTGTATGTGCTCTTTCTCTTTTTTTCCCCAGCATGCATATGCTCTAGAACTACTATACGAACAGTTACATGAAGGAGCCAAAGCCCTTGATGTAGGATCTGGAAGTGGTATTCTTACAGCTTGTTTTTCACGAATGGTGAGCAACCTGTTTTACCACTTGAACGAGAAGAAACTTTTCAATGTTTTTCTGGTTAAATTTAAAAGAAAAAATAGCAACATGAATGTATAATCTCTAAATTTCTAGCATCCTTATCTTATAGTAAACTGGATTATAGTTTTTCTAAGAACTATTGAAATTTACCTACCATGTCAGACAGCTGAACATCTAGATTAATATTCTGTTCTGATAATGGCTAACACCAAATATTTCAGAAAAAGGTGCAGTAAATCTCATAATGGACAACTCGGGAAAAAGTTAAAGAGAAGTTTCTTCGTAACCTCAGTCAGCAGTTTCCTCATTCTGAAGCATGAGGATTTATTACTCCTGGGGGAATTCTGGCCACTGTGCATGTACAGACTTTGTGAGTGGGAAGCAAAGAGAAACCGTAAGAGCATTCCATGCCCCTCCTCAGAAGCATAGGTGCATTGTTTGGGTGTCCAGAGCAGCTGGTGGAGATGTAAATCACTGGGGAGGGAAGTGTGTTGCGGATGTCCCATCCATCAAACCCCTATGCATCTGGACTGCTGCCAAGCTTCACACTGCTGCCCACAAAACTGCCCATCTTTTCTACCTTACCCCACCACTGAGTCTCTCTCACTGCATCTGGAATCCCATACCACTCAGACCCTTCTTCCCAAGCCCCATCCTTCCACACCTAAATATCTCCAGCCCCATGCTGGCCAATGGTCCCTACCCTGCACCAGTCTCAACTAGGGATGTGAAGGACTAGCCGATTAGTTGCTTCCTCCTCTCCTTGCTGCCTCTGTCACATAGAGGCAGCGTGGTGGGGGGGAAGGAGAGGGTACTTCAAAGTGACAGCGCTGCTTGAAGCTTGGGGCCAGACCCTGGACTCCACATGGTGCTGCCACTTTGAAATTCTGCGTGCAGCCCTGGGACAGCTGGGGTGTCCCCAGGCTGCACGTGGCATTTCAAAGTGACAGTGCCTCACGGAGCCCAGGGTCAGCAGGGAGTCCCCAGCTGACCCCTAAGGCTGTTGCTACACTTCAAAGGCAGAGGCGAATAGTTGATGCAAAATGCATTGACTATTCGATTAGTCAGTTGGTTGATACTTAACATCCTTAGTCTCAACAGTTAGTCCAGGTTAGGTCTGAGTGTACCTCCCCTGCATAGAGCGGTCAGGGTCAAATCAGACTCACTCCCAGAAACTTCCTCCAGTTTTGCTCTCCCTTCTCCCAGTGCTTCTCAGCCATAGGGGGTTCTAAGGGGAGCTGTCCCCTCCTTCTGCCAAACCCCCATTCATCCAGACTCCCTCCCTAGACCCTATGCTAAGATCGTTCCCCTTATACCCGTACTTCCTCCATCCCCATACAATAGGCCCACCACAAATCCCCTACGTACAGCCCCCACTGAGCCCCTCTCAGCTGCACCTGAATCCCTCCACTGAGCCACCCAGACCTCCCTGTTAAGCTCCATCCCCGCCATCCCCACTGAGCCCCAACTATGTGCACCTGGAATCTCTGCTGAGCTGTTTGTATACAGATTGCCCAATGCAGAATGCTCTCACCACACACCTAGATCCCCTCTACATTTGGATCCTGCTGGGTAGGGTCAGACCTAGAGCAAATGCTACCCGAGGTAAGGAGTGTTTTCGACACCCTCCCTCCAGCTGTTAAAATGTTAGATACCTTACTTTTACTGCAGCTGTAGCCCATATCTTTGCACAGTTTGTATAAATGATGTTTTTAATGATCTAGAACTTCGAAAAGCTGCACTCACTGGTCACTATGGCTGGAAGCGTGAGCAGAATCTTTAAAGCTATCCACACATTAGGAAAAGTGTCCTTCAGGTCTGCATCATGAATGAATTGGGGGATCTTCGAGTGGAGAGTGTTTCCTGTGTGGCAAAATGGTATGGGTGGTGGTGTCCAATTCGATATAGAGATCTTTATCTTTGATGGGCAAATATTCCCCAGGTGTCAGTGTCCAGTGATGGTCCATCCAGTTGTTCAAGAGTGTTTCCCTGTCTGCTGGTAGCTTACAAAGGTCATACAAAAAAGTATGGTGCTTTATTTATCTAACTTTTCTTTAGAAAAGTTAAATGTACACCCCAAATTAGATGTATACCCCAACTTAAATGTATACCCCAAATTAAAAAACATAGTAAGAGATCTAAAAGAGAGTCACCGTGGCTTAACCACCATGTAAAAGAAGCAGTGAGGGACAAAAGGGCATCTTTCAAGAAATGGAAGTCTAATCCCAGTGAGATAAATAGAAAGGAACATAAACACTGTCAAATTAAGTGTAAAACTATAATAAAAAAAGCAAAAAAAGATTTTGAGGAACAGCTAGCCAAAAACTCAAAAAACAATAGCAAAATGTTTAAGTACGTTAGAAGCAGGAAGCCTGCTAAAAAGCCTGTGGGTCCCCTAGACAATCGAGATACAAAAGGAGCAATCAAGGATGATAAAGCCATTGCGGAGAAGCTAAATGATTTCTTTGCATCAGTCTTCATGGCTGAGGATGTTGGGGAGATTCCCAAACCTGCACTGTCCTTTGTGGGAAATGAATCTGAGGAACTGTCCTGGATTGAAGTGTCATTAGAGGAGGTTTTGGAACAAATAGAAAAACTTAACGTGAACAAATCACCAGGACCGGATAGCATTCACCCAAGGGTTCTAAAAGAACTCAAATGGGAAACTGCAGAACTGTTAACTGTGTTTTGTAATCTATCCCTTAAATCGGCTTTTGTACCTACTGACTGGAGGATAGCTAATGTGACACCAATATTTTAAAAGGGCTCTAGAGGCGGTCCCGGCAATTACAGACTGTTTTAAGTCTAACGTCAGTACCGGGAAAATGAGTCGAAACAATAGTGAAGAATAAAATTTTGAGGCACGTAGAAGAACGTAATTTGTTGGACAAAAGTCAACATGGTTTCTGTAAAGGGAAATCGTATCTTACTAATCTATTAGAGTTCTTTAAAGGGGTTAACAAATACGTGGACAAGGGGGAACCAGTGGATATAGGGGTACGTCTACACTACAACGTTAATTCGAACTAATTTAGTTCGAATTAGTTAATTCGAACTAAGCTAATTCGAACTAACGGATCCAGACTAAAAAAACTAGTTCGAATTAGTGTTTTGCTAATTCGAACTAGCATGTCCACGTTAAGTGGACCCTGAACCAGGCTTAAGGATGGCCGGAAGCAGTGCCAGCAGGGCATCAGAGGAGGACTTAGAGCGTGGAGATGCTGTCTCAGGCTAGCCGAGGGCTGTGCTTAAAGGGTCCCGACCCCCACCCCGGACAGACAGTTCTCAGGGGTGCCCCGCTTGCAAAGCAGTCCTGGCTTGGAGTGCCCTGAGTGCCCACATTGGGCACATCACAGCACTCAGCCATCAGCCCGGCTGCACTTGCCGCAGGCTGCCATCTGGGGCCGGACAGACAGTTCTCAGGGGTGCCCCGCTTGCAAAGCAGTCCTGGCTTGGAGTGCCCAGAGTACCCACACTGGGCACATCACAGCACTCGGCCATCAGCCCGACTGCACTTGCCGCAGGCTGCCATCTGGGGAGAGGGGGCAATCGGGG